GGAACTCAAATCAATGAGTCATCTTGTGGATGGAGAGGCATGGAGATATTTTAATCACATAACTGCGGCAAAGCACGTAACGTGCAGCTTGACTTATGATCAAATGGCTTCTCATTGTATAGCCAGACTGCATCACTCTACTCTTGTTGGCAGGTGATCGTTACACCATATAATTTATCACTTGAAATATACATGACCACACAATTCTTCATCCTGAAACCGATTATACCAAGTCTCGATAGCTCTAAAGGTAGGATTAATGTATACTTACAACCATTGATAGATGAGCATATTTTTCGGGAAAGAGATGTCACGACATATGGTGATTCAATTGAAATATAATTTTCAAATGAAAGCAACATTAATGTGAACAATAAGTCATTTCTCACATATGACATGTTATCTTGGTGGAACACTGCAGGAAAGTTGATTTGTCCATATTGCATGAATTCCTCCAAGAGATTTACGCTTCAGTATTGCAAAAAGAATTCATTCTTTGCTTGTCACAAATGTTCTTAAGTGTTGAACATCTTTTAAGGCAAAACAAAAATGCATTCAGAAGAAACCAAATTGAGTTTCAACACTACCTCTAAGGGTGTACCTGGGGAAAATTTATTTTTGATTATTGGTAACAATGCAGAGATTATTGTTAGCTCTAAATATTCTTCACATCATCCATCGCACTTTGATGTTATGCATAATTGGACAAAAATGTCCATCTTTTAGGATTCTCCTTACATTAAAGATAACCTGATCAAGCAAAACCCTGGTGTAATGCACATAGAGAATTTTTTTTATATAATATATTCAACACTGTGATGGATGCAAAAAGAAAAAATTATGGATAACATGAATGTCAGACTAGATATGAAGAATGTTTGAAAAAAAATGGAGTTAAAGATCTAAGAAAGTTAGATAACTAAAAAACTATCGTTGGAATGATTATAAAGCTAAAAGAAATATTATCTTACATTGACACAATGTACATTTATTTGTGAGTGGCTTAAATAATTAAAATTCTCGAGCGGATATGCTTCAAAATTGAGTTGTGGTGTTGATGAGGATGAAGGAAAGATATTTGGAATGAAAAGCTACGACTATCATATTTCCCTTGAAATTTTGATGCTAACCACATTTAGCTATTTGTCGAGCGAAATACTAAATCATTTGATTCAAATCAATGTGTTCTTCAAAGAATTATGAGGCTCTCATTTGAAACGTGATGACTTATGACAGTTAGAAGCAAACATTCCAGTAATACTATGCAAGCTCGAAAAAATATTCTCATCTAGTTTCCTCAACTCCATGGAGCATTTGTCGGTACATATACCACACGAGGCATTAGTTGGAGGCCCAGTATAGTATCATTGAAAGTATTTGTTTAAGTGGTAAGTTGTAATGCTTGAACACCATGTATTTATTACTTCATACATAATAATTTAAAATTATGCTAAATAATATTTTACTCGCATAATTTTTGAATAAACTGAAGAGAGTTGTGAAAAATAAAGCACAACCAGAATGATCAATATGTGAGACATTTATTGCAAGAGACTACCATTTTTCTGCTCCTACTATTCTAGACTAGAAAAATCCATGAAAGAGTCATTAGATGTAGTGTCTCCCTCGAATCTTTCTATTTTTCAACAGTTTGGTGAAGCTTCGGAGAGGTGCACTTCACGTTATCTCTGTGATCAGGAACATGGATCAGCAATACTATATATTCTTCTTAATTGCAACTAAGTTCAACCCTTTATTTAGTAAGATATTTTCTATTAATAGTTGTTCTCCAAATATTACGATGAGTCAATTCATAAATTTCTTAAAGTGTTTACAGTTTATTCATAGATTTGTTAAAATCAATTGAAGACTATAACACAAGCTAGGAGATAGAATAAATTCCCACAAAGGTTTACAACACATGTATGTTAGAATTTGGTAAATTCATTACTCATCTCACACGTATATTTTTAGGTATCTTCATTGACGCATATTTTTTTATGAATTAACAGATTCTTGATTGGAATAATGGATTAACATATTAGAGCTTGATAGATCTTGATTAGGGACCCATGTACATTGTGAAAAATTGGCAAATTTATGATGTGAATCGCTACAGGTTTCAAACGAGATCTTGATCAGAAGGAAAAAAGGCTTGTAATTTTGAATTTGTGTTAAAGCAAATAATAAATGAAATGATGAGATACATTACTATGTGATTCTTGAAGAATTTGTTGAACTATCTTATCTTGGCACCATTGGAGGGAGCGTATTTTTGTTCAACTGTGATTGGTTCGATTTTGTTTCTTATTGTGGAACAAAGGTAAACTAAGCTTATAATATTGTAGAAGTCAGAGTGAACAAAAGGCCTATTGATATGTCATTTACTGACGATATAAAGTATTCACAATAGATTTTTGGTGGCATGGCTAAAACACTTGTCGTTAATTCTTTTACCGACGGAATTACTTTGGGCTTATATAGGGTGACAGTTTACTGACGATATAAAGTATTCACAATAGATTTCAATTTCATATCATAGATAATCCATTGGTTAGGCCGACAATCCATGCCGTCGGAAAAGTGTAGCGCCGCCATTGTAAAAGTGTAGCACAATTATAGAAACGTGTGGTTGTGACGTTAGTAGCTTTCGGTAATGACTGATGACCCTTGCTAACAGAAACTTAGAGCATAAATAAAAAAAATTGTCACGTGTCATCATATTATAGGCCGTCAAGAAAGGTTGTTAGGTTTTACGATAGTGAATTGAAAGACACTTGGTTTTCCATCGCTAATGTAATTGTGATTATGGACCATCCAAAGTTATGATATTTTGTTGGAAAATCGATTGTAAGCCGTCGACAATCTATATCATCAGAAAAAAAAAAAATAATATTCTCCCTCAACACTATATTTTCCACATATAAACTCCCAACACTAGAATTTACACAGCACAATGTACCAATCCAAGCAGTTATTAAACTAATATCACATTAATAATTAACGCAGAAACTATAAACATAAATCAAAGAAAACCATCGCATTAAATCAGCCAAAATGAAAAATTGTACATAAAAAAAATTAGTTGTTTGAATTAATTGTTCTAAATAAACAAACAAGAAAAAAAGTCCTTCTCCTACTACATTGGATAAAATTTAGTTGCATTGTAATTTAATCAAATGTTCACATGCTTTGAGCACATGTTTTGCACTTCTGATATATTTAGATGGATATAGTACGTTAATAATAAGAAAAAAAATAAATAATTGGGTGGATTGTGAAACATATTTGAGGAACTTGTGGGTAACCTAACAAGTTTCAACTGCGCAGTGTCAAAGACAATCGTTGTGATTACCAGATTTGGTGGCGCCTTTGATTCAGCTCATGTTGGTAAATGACGGGTAAACAGTCGCCTTCGTATCCAGAATTTTGACTTGTGATGTGGCCCGGTAATTATGTAGATAAGAAGGGATCAATTGGAAAATCTGCTCGTATTTTTTGCTTACAAAATCATAAAGGTTTGCTCCTAAATCACCTACTATTTACCATTAGGGGGATTACATACATAACACGTAATTCTTATTAAAATTTCATATCTACCACTAAACTTTAGTATTACATATATACCAACCAATTCTTTTCTGTTCATCATCTCTAAAACTTGCCCATATGTTGATGAGAGTTTCGAATGTTTTTGTACACAATAATCCTTTCGCCTCCGAACCAATGGAGAAGAACGAGGTAGCTTTGGGGGTTTTGGAAGTTTGGAGGAATTGTACGCCACGGTCGTGATGTCACTGAACCAAACTAGGATAAAGATATGGAGTTTCGAAGGTCTTTGTTTGTTGCCATCCCATTGCAGTCAGGCTTTAGAAGAAGAAAGATGAGAGTTTTAAAGATCTTTGTATGCTGCCATCCCGTCGCCACCGAACCGAAGGAGAACAATGGTAATTTCTGATGATTTTCCTGTTGCCGCAGAGCCGAATGGAGCAGAAAGATGAGAGTTTCCAAGGTCTTCGCATGCTGCGATGTCGTCGCTAGGAAGGTCAATTAGGACAGCAAATTAACAAAGGATAGACAAGATGATAAGATGAACTGAGGGGATTTGGGTGGTATGCATGTAACATTGAAGTTTTGAGTGTGAGATATGTAATTTAATATGAATTGAGTAGTATGTATGTAAATCCTTCTTAACATTATCAGCATACCAACCAAATTAATTTTCAATTATAGCTTATAATCACTTAGCTAACTTTCATTAAAAAAGTGATTTGTTGGACCCATAAATCTTAAGTTGACCTGCCCTAACTTAACCAGATTATACTTATGATCTCCAGGCTTCACCCAACCCTAACAGAATAGAGTGTGGGGAAGGCTATTGATAAATAAGATAGCTCGAGTCATTTTTAAAAGATCAAATAGGGCACTCACCTTTGTTTAGCGCCAACAATAGTAACGGCAAATATTAGTAAAATAATTTTTTATACAATCATATCTAAATCTTGTTTTATATATATATATATATATATCTGTGTGTGTGTGTGAGTGCGCGCGCGCCCTGCATACTCAGATCAGTTGGTCGAGCATCTGCTTGTTAGTTGTAAGTACCCTCTGGTTCGGGGTTCGATTCCCCCCGAGTGTAGGGTGTGATACTCGAATTCTTACATACATGAGAGATGCCCGGGGCTCGTAGAATAGCCTCCGGCCATATATATATATATATATATATATATAAAAGGGGATAGCAAGGAAAAAAGGCAATTAATGTGAAAAATAAAAAAATTAGTTTACATATAACGGAACTTCAAAACATGATCAATATACCTGAAGTTCATTAATGCTATATCTTTATATTAATTCATGAAAGCCGAAGATTAAAAAAACTGATGATGGGACAACTAAAAATATGACCTACTAATACATAAGAAAAAAAATTTGAATGAACACTAACAAGTTTGCTCTCCACTTTTCTTTTTTTTTTTTTTGAAGAAAAAAATTACATAAAAAAAACTAAGAATCATCTTCCTTGAACTAACTTATTCAACGAGCAAGTAATGAAATAGAACTACATTGCACAAAGAAAATCTCTCTTTTACATGTAGATTTTGAATCAAAATAAGAGAACAGCGGGGATGAAAGGAACCTGTAACCAAAAAATGACAACGCTGATGCTGTTTTTGAAGGTAGCACTCAATCTAAGTAGAACAGAGTAACTATTTTTCTGAGGTTCTTTGCTTCCTGGCAAGTCTCCATGAGCAATTTACTATCATGAAATGCAAAGCATATGACTTGCTGTACATGTGAGAGGATGTCTTTATTGCACAACCTGTTATAATATTTTTATATAAGAAAAAGATTCAAATGAAGCATCACACTTGGATATATATGTAAAATAATACAGTAGATTCTTCGGTCAAAAGGTAAATAACTGTGTTTTCTGGGTTTTCAAAGAGAGTTTCAGTTAGACATTCAGTTACAAGTTAAACCTCGACTTGAGGAACAAGAAAGAACTCAGTTTTCTGGGTTTTCAAAGAAAGTTTTGATATGACTTCAGTTACAAGTTGAGCCTGTGTGACGCAGATGCTGAAGCCGCCAGATCTCGGAACCATTCATGGTAACATGGAGCAGTCGAGATCGTCCCAAACTTCTGCACGGTGTGCAATCCGGAATCAATTCCAGCATATTTTATCCTTTTTCTATTTCTTTCCTGATTTCCTATTTTCTTATTAGGTTATTTCCTATAAAAAGACTTTATAAATGTTGTGGCTGTTTGAATTTTTCAGTTTTTTATTTAAGAATTTTGGGAGACTTTCACTACTGTGAAAGTGTTTTGGAGACTTTCATCTCTGTTTTTTGCTCCTCGAAGTGTTGTATAATTTCCTTTTATAAGTGATGTGTATGCATCTTGCTCAAAAATAGGTGGTGGAACCTCATCGCAGTCCGTATATCATACGTTTCAGACTTATTTTTCTTTTTTTCATCAGCAATAGCCGTTAAACATCGCCCTACCCCAATCCAAGCACTGTCAACCTTCTATAGTATCGTCAATTTTCTCCATTCCACAACCACCTCCCTACAAAACTCGCTTTCTAAATACTTTCATGGAGCTCTAGAATGGAATCACCTGGTATCAGAGTTAGCCAGAATCTTAATTGGAAAGACGAGACGTTGTGCTGTCCAAGAGAAACTCTCAATGAGGAACTCAAAAAATTATTTTGAAGAGCATGCGGTGGAAAATCCTCCAACTGTAGCAGAGGCTCGCAAATTTGAAAGAAAACAATATGGAGAAATTACCCACAACAATAACAGTGACCACCCAAATGAAAAAAGATAAAGAAAACACTTTCCATAAAGAAGTGTTAAGTGACAAAGAGTCGATATTGCATCGATTCAGCATTAAGTATAGGAGAGAAAGTGATTTTGGAGTAAAGGTGAATTTATTTGACTTTGAGAGTTGCTTGGCTCCGAATGAGTTCAGTGAGTGGCTCCAAACAGTGTAACGAGTCTTTGAATACAAAGATGTTCCTCACGAATAAGAGTAAAGCAAGTCGCCATCACGTCGAAGAAGAGTACGTCACTCTGTTAGGAAAATTTGAAACACATATGCTAGCAATAAGAAAAAATTAAAATCACAACCTGGTTCAACATGAAGGGAGATGTAGTGTGAGTAACTGCTAATACACTACAGACAAGATGTACTTTTTAGGCTTCATCACTTACAGCAGACAAATTTTTCAGTATAGAAGTACACCGTTCAATTCGAACAACTTATGTTGAAGTGTGAGCTAGTGAAGCCCGAGAAAAATATCATAGCTCAACATCTGAGAGGATTGAGACCATCCATTAGCAATTTGATCCAATTACATTCTTATTGGGCTTTAAATGATATTTATACCCTAGCTCTAAAGTTGGAGAAACAACACAATAGTATCAAGTTCACACCACCCTTAAAAAACAATTCAAGCCTAAGCTCAAGCAACAAAAGTGCACAAAGTAAAGCATTCTAGCTTGCCTCGTCAGAAGAAAATTAAATTAAGAGTTGAGACAAAATAGAGACCTCCGGCACTCACAAATTTGTCCCAGCTAGGAAGGGCTTCAAATGCCACGACTTTGAGAACATTGCGTCTAATTGTCCAACAGAAGGGTGATATCTCTCACTGAGTAGTGTACACTGGAGAAGACAGAGGGTGAAGGCCCACGAGAAAAATGGAGCGGAATACTAGTTGCCTACAAATGAGGGAGAGATATTAATAATCGGATGGATCCTTTAGGTTGAGCTTATGAGAGAGAGCAAAAGTTACTTCGCCAAAACATATTTCGTACTTGTTGCATCGTGAAGGGAAATGTGTGCAACCTCATTAAATGGAAGCAATTGTGAAAATGTGGTATCTATACACATGGTTGATAAATTGGGCATCACTAATCAGAAGCATTATGAACCATATTCTCTATCATGGTTGAAGAAAAGAATTAAGATCATTAGTTGACATGAGATGTCTAGTGAAATTTTTTATGAGAGACAAGCAACAATATTAGATTTGGTGTTATACTATACTTATGGATATGTTACATTCATTTGAGCCAATCATGGAAATATGAGGGGTATACTTCATGATTGCAACAAAAGCACATACTTATCAAGGATGGGAAACGTATTGTACTTCTGTCATTGAAGGAGTCACTAGTGATAGATACTCCGACAAAGACAGGAACTACAGTGGCCCATGCCACATTTATATAAACTATGTGAGGCACTAGTGAAACTGGCTTTGTTGATGTTAGAAGACAATGTCATGAAAGATATAATATACGAGGCAATGCAACCCTCACTAAATGAGTTTCATGATTCTATCATATTCATTTATACCGAGTTGTCAAGCATGTCATCGCTTTAGATAGAAATGAGATGTTTTTGAGCAATTTCTAAAAATTCATATGGATTAAGTTCAGTGCTAAGTTCCAATTCAGTTCAACAATGCACTCAAAGTCAAATGTTAGGACAAGAATAGTGAATTGTAACTTTGGAAACCTCCTGTGTATTTTATGGGAAAATATATTCGATAATGAGATCAAGGCATTTCCTGAGCCAAAGGGCGAAGCCTCTCCTACCGTGGGAGTGATGCAGGCGCTGAAATCATGGAATCATAGAATTTCCCACAAAATCATGGAATCGTCGACAATCACAGCAGACATCCCACATGAGATGCAATCTGAGATCAATTCTAGCATTCTTTGTTCCTTTTATGTTTATTCCCTGATTTCCTATTTCCTAATTAGGTTATTCTTATAAGAGGCTTTTATATATGTTGTGGTGGCTATTTGATTTTTTTAGTTTTTGAGCTAAGAATTTTCAAAGACCATTGTGAAAGTGTTCGGGAACTTTGCTCTCTATTTTTTGCTCTTAGGAGTGTTGTATCATCTTCTTTTGCAAGTGGTATGTATGTATTTTTTCTCAAAAATAGATGGTGAAATCTTCTCGTTGTCTAATACATCATCGTTACAAAGTTTTCTTTGTTGATTTCAGTCAGGACAACCGTCGAAATGAAGGGAGATGTAGTGTGAGTACCTGCTAATACACTACAGACAAGATGTATTTTTTAGGCTTCATCACTTACAGCAGACAAATTTTTCAGTATAGAAGTACACCGTTCAATTCGAACAACTTATGTTGAAGTGTGAGCTAGTGAAGCCCGAGAAAAATATCATAGCTCAACATCTGAGAGGATTGAGACCATCCATTAGCAATTTGATCCAATTACATTCTTATTGGGCTTTAAATGATATTTATACCCTAGCTCTAAAGTTGGAGAAACAACACAATAGTATCAAGTTCACACCACCCTTAAAAAACAATTCAAGCCTAAGCTCAAGCAACAAAAGTGCACAAAGTAAAGCATTCTAGCTTGCCTCGTCAGAAGAAAATTAAATTAAGAGTTGAGACAAAATAGAGACCTCCGGCACTCACAAATTTGTCCCAGCTAGGAAGGGCTTCAAATGCCACGACTTTGAGAACATTGCGTCTAATTGTCCAACAGAAGGGTGATATCTCTCACTGAGTAGTGTACACTGGAGAAGACAGAGGGTGAAGGCCCACGAGAAAAATGGAGCGGAATACTAGTTGCCTACAAATGAGGGAGAGATATTAATAATCGGATGGATCCTTTAGGTTGAGCTTATGAGAGAGAGCAAAAGTTACTTCGCCAAAACATATTTCGTACTTGTTGCATCGTGAAGGGAAATGTGTGCAACCTCATTAAATGGAAGCAATTGTGAAAATGTGGTATCTATACACATGGTTGATAAATTGGGCATCACTAATCAGAAGCATTATGAACCATATTCTCTATCATGGTTGAAGAAAAGAATTAAGATCATTAGTTGACATGAGATGTCTAGTGAAATTTTTTATGAGAGACAAGCAACAATATTAGATTTGGTGTTATACTATACTTATGGATATGTTACATTCATTTGAGCCAATCATGGAAATATGAGGGGTATACTTCATGATTGCAACAAAAGCACATACTTATCAAGGATGGGAAACGTATTGTACTTCTGTCATTGAAGGAGTCACTAGTGATAGATACTCCGACAAAGACAGGAACTACAGTGGCCCATGCCACATTTATATAAACTATGTGAGGCACTAGTGAAACTGGCTTTGTTGATGTTAGAAGACAATGTCATGAAAGATATAATATACGAGGCAATGCAACCCTCACTAAATGAGTTTCATGATTCTATCATATTCATTTATACCGAGTTGTCAAGCATGTCATCGCTTTAGATAGAAATGAGATGTTTTTGAGCAATTTCTAAAAATTCATATGGATTAAGTTCAGTGCTAAGTTCCAATTCAGTTCAACAATGCACTCAAAGTCAAATGTTAGGACAAGAATAGTGAATTGTAACTTTGGAAACCTCCTGTGTATTTTATGGGAAAATATATTCGATAATGAGATCAAGGCATTTCCTGAGCCAAAGGGCGAAGCCTCTCCTACCGTGGGAGTGATGCAGGCGCTGAAATCATGGAATCATAGAATTTCCCACAAAATCATGGAATCGTCGACAATCACAGCAGACATCCCACATGAGATGCAATCTGAGATCAATTCTAGCATTCTTTGTTCCTTTTATGTTTATTCCCTGATTTCCTATTTCCTAATTAGGTTATTCTTATAAGAGGCTTTTATATATGTTGTGGTGGCTATTTGATTTTTTTAGTTTTTGAGCTAAGAATTTTCAAAGACCATTGTGAAAGTGTTCGGGAACTTTGCTCTCTATTTTTTGCTCTTAGGAGTGTTGTATCATCTTCTTTTGCAA